AAGTTATATCAAATCTAAATGTTGCAGAAGTTACTGTTGTAAGATAGTGGGCCTTGTTGTAGCCCTGGTGGGCCAGCTTGGGGCCGTCTCGAGCAAGCTCTGACTTGGACTGAGCGCCAGCCCGCCAGACTAAGCGTAGGGCGAGTAAGCATTAGGGTTCCATCTGCATCAAGGGATAATAGTATGAATAATCGTACATAACAACACTCGCCCTACAGCTCATAGGAGTAGACTAGGTCCTCCTAGGCACTTCTAGTGCCAGCTCAGTCACACAGTCAAGCTGCTCTTAGAATTATTATAAAAGGAGCCCTATGTGTGATGAGGAATGAGCAGCAGCAGGAGGAAGGTCAGCAAGAAGGGTAGAAAGGGCCCCGCTTTCCCCCCCCCCCCCTCCCGCCCACAACGTGGACTTCCACGAGTACGTGCTGCTGAACAGCAGCGCCAAGGGCAGGGACGTTGGGGATGGAGGGAGACCTGTTTCCCACCCTCTCTCTTCTCTTCTCTCTCTCTCTCTCTCTCTTTCCCCCCCCCCCTCTCCTTTCTCAAGGTAGGTTTGAGCTCTCTTCACATGTTGCTTGCATTTTGTGTTGTGCTCGCCGACCCTTCATGCTGTGTCTGTCTGTGAGGTGACTCTCGGCGAGGTCGGATTAATAATAAGAACCCCATCATTTCGACTAGCTTAGCATGGACAGTCAGTCAGTCAGTCAGTTAGCTGTGCGTCCAGTAGGACGCGTTGGCACAAGCCTGAGACACGCCAAACACGCGCCTGAACAGCCGTGCGACACGCCAAACACGTGCAAAGGACGATTGTGGTCAGACCTGAGACACGCCAAACACGTGCGGAAGCAGGCGGGCGACACGCCAAACACGTGCAGGTGCAGCGCAGACGCGCCAAACGCGCGCGGGGAGGAAGGGGGAAGAGGGAGGTGCCACATACCATAGCATGGCATAGCATAACATAACAGAGCATACCATAGCATAACATACCATAACACACCATGGCATAACATACCATACCATAACATGAGGATGAGGGAGGGGTGTGTGTGTGTGAGGGAGTTGGCGCGGTCGGAGTGACAACAATAACTCCATCCTGTGGATATGGGAATCAGAAACGAGTTCCTGGACACGGGGAACAAATCATAACACAACGTAGCATAAGGTGCCGCAGCATAGCATAACAGAGTATACCATGACATACCATACCATGCGCGATACCGGCCAGATGTCAGGGGATGTGTGGGACCCCCGAGTAGGAGTCCCAATTTGAAAAAAAAGGAATTCTGGGAATTCAGTTTTTTGGCTATCTAAGGGGCCATCTTGGCGATCAGCGGGCGTTACTTGCTCTGAGTAGAAAGTGCCTGGGATGCAGCGGCCAGCGCTGTACATGAGCTGCTACCTTGGGCTGCAGCTCGCTGGATAATGCTGCGTGAAAAGCGCTGCTACCCTGGGCTGCAGCGCCATGCAATTAAATACCCCGGCATTACTTATCCCACACGGCACTTGAACGAGAGATGGACATGCTTGGTTCACGCATGAATTTCTGTCCTGAGTCCTGAATGGATGACCATCTAACCCAAATCCAAATTCCCGGATTCCTTGGGGCTTCGGAGACTCCGCGAAACCTTTAAGAAGCCGGGAGGCGCGGTACCGGCCAGATGTCAGGGGATGTGTGGGACCCCCGAGTAGGAGTTCCACTTTGATGAGAAAAAGGAATTCTTGGAATTCCCTCTCCCTTTTTTTCTCCAAAATCCTCGATCTTCGAGAGTTGGAAGCGGGAAAACGTGAGAAGGCGAAAAACATTAGAAAATAACACTGGAAATCAACGATGCTATCATCTTTGGGCTCTCTCGGGACGGCTCTCGCAGCTCTCTTGGGCTGGTCTTGGAGCCTCGTCGGGGTCTCTTTGGGGCCTCTCAGGGATCGGGGGTGTGTTGGGGGCCTCTGGGGGGTCCTGGAGGCCTCTCGGAGGTTTCTGGGGGCCTCCTGCTCCCGCTCTTGGGCCCATCTTGGGCCTGTTCTGGGGTGGTCTGGGACTGTCCTGGGCGCCTCTTCGGCAATCTTCAAGCCTTCTTGGCCCGTCCTGGGGCCGTCCTGAGGGTCGCTTGGGTGGTCTTGGGGCGGTCTTGGGAGCCTCTTCGGCGCTCTTGGACCATTGGAAGCTCGAAAACTCGAGAAGCCAAAAACATGGAAAAATCAATGAACATCTACGATTTGGGCCTTTTCGGGCCGTCCCGTGACACCTATCCGACCTCTCTTGGAGCCTCTTGGAGGCCACCTGGGAGCCTCGAGAGCCGTCGGAAGGCTGACTTGGGCTACTCGGGAGCGTCTTGGACCATTCTTTCGAATTCTGGGGGCTTCTGGGAGGCGTCTTGGGCCCTCCTTGGACGCTGTGGAGGCTCCCCGGAAAGGCCGGGGGAGCGGTACCGGGAGCGTCCCCGAGATGTGGCGGGAAGGTGTGGGACCCGGGGCAGGGGGGGGCGGTATCCATTTATATTGTATAGAACCGCGCGCGCTTCGCGCGCGCTTGGGTTCTAGCGCATGCCATGGCGTTGTTAGCTGCGCGCGCTTTTCGGACAAGCTCATTCCATGCCTTGCTTTACCTCATCCTCCAATGATCCTTATACGTCCTTCCTCGTTAACCCTCCAGACTCTCTCGGTTGTCCTCGCTTTTCGTTTCTCGCTCTTATCGACGGCCTCCTCCTGCTTGGGATTATGCGGGGGCTTCGAGCTGTTCAGGGCCGGCGTGGGAAGATATTCAATATGAAGTGGGCTGGCTTGAAATGTACGGGTCTCTTGTGGATCTTCCTGTTTGGGCTGTCTTGAAGGCCTGGGGGCCCGCTTAGGTCCCTCTTGGGCTCTTCTTCGAAGTTGTGGGGCCGTCTCGAGCCTCGGCGCCATGTGAAGCTCTCCCGAAGTCATCCGAAAGAGACGAGCGTGAGATTCACTGAATATGGAGAAACCTGAATGGCTTTTGCGTTTGTGGCTCTCTGGGGTCATTTGGGAGGGCCTTTGGGAGTTCCACTGGGGCATCTTGTGGCCCCTGGGGGGCGCCTTAAACATCTTGGAGCGTCTTGGACCACTAAGGGGCCATCTTGGCGGCCAGCGGGCGTTGCTCGCTCTGAGTAGAAAGTGCCTGGGATGCGGCGGCCAGCGCTGTACATGAGCTGCTACCTTGGGCTGCAGCTCGCTGGATACTGCTGCGTGAAAGGCGCTGCTACACTGGGCTGCAGCGCCATGCAATTAAATACCCCGGCATTACTTATCCCACACGGCACTTGAACGAGAGATGGACATGCTTGGTTCGCGCATGAATTTCTGTCCCGAGTCCTGAATGGATGACCATCTAACCCAAATCCAAAATTCCCGGATTCCTTGGGGCTTCGGAGACTCCGCGAAACCTTTAAGAAGCCGGGAGGCGCGGTACCGGCCAGATGTCAGGGGATGTGTGGGACCCCCGAGTAGGAGTTTCATTTTGACAAAAAAGAATTAATGGAATTCCCCTTCTTTTTTTCTCCCAAATCCTCGATATTTGAGGGTTGGAAGCGGGAAAACGTTAGAAGGCGAAAAACATTGGAAAAAACATTGGAAATCAACGATGTTATCCTCGTTGGGCTCTCTCGGGACGGCTCTCGCAGCTCTCTTGAGCTGTTCTTGGAGCCTCGTCGGGGTCTCTTTGGGGCCTCTCAGGGATCGGGGGTGTGTTGGGGGCCTCTGGGGGGTCCTGGAGGTCTCTCGGAGGTCTCTGGAAGCCTCCTGCTCCCGCTCTTTGGCCCATCTTAGGCCTGTTCTGGGGTGGTCTGGGGCTGTGCTGGGCGCCTCTTCGGCAGTCTTCAAGCCTTCTTGGCCCGTCTTGGGGCCGTCCTGAGGGTTTCGTGGGTGGTCTTGGGGCGTTCTTGGGAGCCTCTTCGGCGCTCTTGGACCATTGGAAGCTCGAAATCTCGAGAAGCTAAAAACATGATCGTTTTATTTTGCCAGTGGCTCGGACTGCTTGAGGATTCGAACGAAGCACGGGCAAGCTAGGCTGGCTAGTGCGACACAGATCTGCTCAAGGTACCACTAAAAGGAGGCATTGGGCTGGCGTGGGCCGAAAGAAATGCCTTGAGCGAGAAGGCGACAGACATTAGCAATCATTCTCGTGCATCACTTACATGATCGCTTTATTTTGCCAGTGGCTCAGACTGCTTGAGGATTCGAACGAAGCACGGGCAAGCTAGGCTGGCTTGTGCGACACAGATCTGCCATACTTCAACTTGATATAAAATCCATCACTCAAGCATTGTGCTGGGGCTTAACCCCGCATTCGTTTCCATCTTTCGGTGGACTGCTGTGCTATACACGATCTGTGCAGCGTGTCAGCCAGGAGTGCGCAAAGGGCGGGGGGATAGGCGTTTTTGAGACGGGTGAAAAAGCCACCCCCAGAAAGACAACCGGAGAGCTCCAGGTGGGGCTTGCCGGTAAAGGAGCAAATTCCTCTGCCTTTGCACACTAACTTATCAAGACCAGGGCGCGGGCTGCAGAACCTTATCCGAGTGCGAGCACGAAAGGGGCGACCACGAGCACAGTAATCGACAACCCTATCACAGACTTCGGGAAGGTTAGCAAAGGAGCGGCGGTCGGGGCGAAGCCACAGGAAACTTTGCCAAGGGTTCTCCTCGCCGCCAGGGATATTCAACCTATAGCAGAGACGCTGAATACGCTGTGAGACCCACCCTGCCTTGTTAGAGACGCGGAGGCTCTCGAGGTCTTTACCCGTGAGGCCCGGGATCCCAAGAGGAAACGCGGGGCTCCGGAGAGCCGAGGGCATGCTGCAGGACAGGGGGGCCCGACGGGCCCTCGAGTAGCCGTTGCAGGGCGTCCCCAGGAAAACGAATTTGACCAGACCAGACGTCAGACATCCCCGGGGGATCCTCCAGACCCCCGGGCGAGTCAAATCAAAATGGCTTCCGTGTTGGATGTCCCATTCCACCACAGCTTCGCCTCTCTGCCCAGATGTTTGCTCAGAGCTCCACATCCTGAGAAGACTTCGATGCGCACCCTTGTTTGATGGGGGGCGCTCCGAAATGCAGCTCCAAGGACCTGTTGAAGACGCCCACGAAGTCCCCGCTTGCTGCTCGGAGGGTTTCGCGCTGCAGGTCGCTGAGCTTGCGTAGTTCCAGCAGCAGGCGCCCGTGCTTCTCGTAGCGCAGCACGGACTTGAACGCCTTCCACCCTCCTCGCTGCTGCGCGGTGTCTGAGTCTCTGTCGCCCGCGCTCTGGTCGCGGCTGGCCCCTCCATGCTGGAGGGAGCAAGGGGTGGCCTTGAGTAAGCACACGCTCAGAGCAGGGGTCGTGTTCTGGAAGTCCTTCGCCAGTTGGTTGTAGCCCAAGACCAGGAAGGCGTGGGCGGGTTCCCGAAGGGCTCGCACAAGGAAGATCGGGTTCACCATCAACTGTTGCCTGGGCAGGTCGAGCCGAACTGAAAGGTCGTACTCGCGGGTCTTGGTTGGTATCTCGTACACTGAGGCCCACACCGCGACCGTCAAGAAGATCGGTGCACCTCCTTCCCTTGGCAGCGGCAGGGCTACCTGCCTTGCTCGCAAATCCAGCACTCTTGACGGGCGCATGAAGGTCTCGAACCTGGTGAGAACGGCCAAGCCACTGAGTGGCTTCCCCGCCCGGCACCGCCCGCAGGCCACCGCCAGCACCACCAAGAACGGGACGGGCGGTCTGGATTTGGACGGGCCCAGGACGTTCCAGCCCTTCAGCGTCTGGTGCGTCAGGGGGAAGACCTCGCGGATCCCGCCCCGGCGGAGGGCGGGCAGCGCCCAGCGCAGCGCCGGGGCCAGCCGCTGAGATGACGCCTTGGGGGCCCCGCGGTCGTAGATCGACTCGGCGTACTCCCCCAGCGTCTCGTCCCACGCGAGGTGCGGCCAGTCCAGGAGGAATGCCATATTCAGCCAGCGTACCAAGCCGAGGATCATCCCGAGGTAGGGCCCATGCGTGCGAGGCCTGCACTTGGCCGAAGCAAGCCGGGTCTGGCGCGGGCGCAACTGGCGCCACTTCTGGATGAAGTCGCTCTCCGAGTGACTGAGGCCAAGCTTTGCGTGCCGCCCAGCCAAGTCTGGCCTGCTCTCGGGCTCGCCCAGCACCGGCACCACGGCCTGCCTCGGCTTGCCCCGGCATCGGTTGCCCGGAAGGCAAGGCGAGTGGCTCCTGCGCTCGCTCGGCGCGCGAGGGCCGGAGCGGCAGCTCGCCAGGGCCATCGGCGCGGGCGGCACCGCCTGGAGCATCGCCACCTCCACGCACGCTCCCGGGGCCCCGAGGCTGGAAGCGGCGAGACGGACCGTCGCTCGGGTTCCACTCTGAGGGGAGCCACCTCGCCTGAACCTTCAGGTCTGCGGCGACCCCCACAGCGAAGAGGACGCGACAGACTCCCAGGAGACGATGATTGGCCGCGCGGCCATTGGCGGCAGCGAGGGTGAGAGACATGTTATCGCCAAGAAAGAATCGGCGCGAACAGTGCCCCCGTGCGTCCCTGGCCGCCCGGCGGACGGCCCATGTCAGAGCGGCCCCCTCGAGCGCGTGGATGGCCTCCTTGCGCTTCCAGCGGCCGCAGCCTACTACGCGCCAGGGCCGGGCATGCATCTTGCCGTAGTCGACCTCCGGGAAGCCTGCCGAGCGCCCGGCCAGCAAGAGGGCGGGCTCTGGCGCCCGCGCTATTTCCTGCTCCAGCGTCCTCTCGCGGGGGGCGCCCTCGGCAGCGAGCACGCCACGGAACCGCGCGCGCTCGGAGGCCCTGCCGACGCGCTGCACATCCTTCAGGTCCCACTCGGTCTCCACGATCCCGTAGCCCCAAGGAGACGCGTCGAAGCAGGTGACCACCTCGCTCCACGGGCGTCGGGCGTCGGCCCGAAGGCAAGGCAGTAGCGCCTTGACCCAGCCCATTTCACGGACCACGCTTTTCCAGAGCGGCTGCTTCTTGGAGTAGGACGCCTGCGCGAACTCGCATGAGGAGTGCAGCATGGCCAGCCCCTGCCGGCGCAGCATCAGGATGGAGACCAGGTGGCCGATCAAACGCTCGAGCTCTTGGCCAGAGACCTTGGCCCGCCCGGTGAGAACATGCTCCAGGGCGCCGTAGACCCGCCAGAGCCGGCGACCCAGCACGTACCAGCAGCCCGTCTGCAGGTCGAGCTCGCATCCCAGCAGCTCGCCGCGCTCAGCCGGAGCAGGGTCTAGCTCGGAGACCGCGCCCTTGGCCGCGAGCGCCGCCTGCATGTCGGCGACGGCGGTGGCGGCACGGGAGGGCGACTGGGACAGCACGGCAAAGTTGTCTATGTACAGGACCTTGGCATCCTCAAGGTTCAAGTCAATGCCGGGGCACTTGTCCAAGCACCATGGCTGAGATGGCAAGACTGACTTGACGAGGTGAAGGTGTGCTTCTTGAATAAAGTGCACCGCCCAGCTCCAGCCCATGGGCACCACCTTGAATCGAAAGCGTACCTGGCCGCTCTTCAACGTCAATCCGCAGGCGCTCCGAACCTCCGGCGGCAGGAAGCGACTCTCGATCAGCGGGAGGTTGAAGTAGCGCCTACACCAGGGCGGCAATGCACATTGATAGAAACAGCAGTCGACGTCTCCAGAACTCATGCCGATCATATTGACTCCCGACGCCTCCAGCGAGGACAAAGCCTCACCCGTCGCGAGTGCCGTGTGCTCTGGAGTGGTAAAGTGCATGTTAGGCGTCCTGGTGTCGCAGATGAGACGCAACCGCTTGTCCTTGCGAACCACAAAAAAACATGCCAGCTTCCTCCAAAACCGGCTCCGAGCTGGCCTCGATCACCCCGGAGGTGTAGAGCTCCCCCAGAGCGTGGCCGTAGTCGTAGCCGAGCCGCCCAAGCTTCGGGCCCATGGCACGAGGAGCACCTGCATCACGAATTAGCGCTGCTGCCTCCTCTGGGGATCGCAACAGCCCGCGCCCAGTCTCCAGCTTGGTCTGCAGGTCAGTCGGGAGGACCTCCATAAGAGCCACCTTACCCGCACCGATCTTGGGGAGAGAGATGTTTCCCCGCTGGTAGACTGTTCGAGAACCGGAGGCCTCGACCTCAGAGTAGCCAGGCCTGAGACCCTGTAGCGCCGTCCACGCTTCATGGGGACTAAGGCGATCAACGGGCGGCGACCACTTGCCGTAGGTCGTGGCCAGCCGCCTCACTGCAGCGCGCTGGGCCGCCGTCAGCGGGGCGGAGGTGGGCACATGGCGCCCCTGCCCGCCCAACTCGTTGAGGGAGGCGATGCCGTTGAGAAGCCACTGATCCTGCCGCCTCCTGGTCGCAGCTCTCCTCCGCGCTGTGAGCGAAGTGCCCCATGCAGCCCCACCGCTCAGCATCGACATCAGCTCCGGACCAATTGGGATAGGAAGTAGGTCTCGATGGCGCCCTCCACCGCCGTCGTCACAAAACATAGTGCCGTATGACCAGCACCCCCCCTTGAGAATAGTCGACCGCTCGGGGGCAGGCGGGCGACCAAGCCACTTCAATGTAGGGATGGGGCTAGGCAGCCCCGTCAGCACAAGCCAAGGCCTTTGCTTTTGACTTCGGCCTGTCTGTGCTGTTCTCGTCCACGCTACCTCGAGCAAGACTATTTTCTTCACGTCCTTTGCGGCGCCCTTTGAGTACTGCTGCTCCCTCCTGAAGGCGGGCTGCCACCCCGCTATGCAGTGCAGTACGACCCACAACTCCTTCACGCCCACGCTCTTGTCCCAAGAGGATCTTGCGCTCGTCGTGCAAAGCCGACCCCCCAGCACTGCGAAGTGCGCCCGCCTCGTGTTCGCGAAGTCTGTTAGCATACTGCTGCACCACCCACAAGGTAGTCCGCGGCCCGCAGCCAGGGGAGTCCAGCTGCGAGTTGGAGGTCGTGGTGTCCCCTGACTCAGCGAAGACTCTGACCCTGTTGCCGCCGCCACCGTACTTGACGAGGAGGGTTCGAAGAGTCTGCTCTGCAGCTTGGCGGTCCTGCCAGGCGGTGGGCGTGCCCTCGTAGGTATCGGGGCCTTCGCGACTGCCAGCTTGAACCCGTCGGCAGGCTCGCAGATGCCCCCATCCCCGGCAATGGCGCCGGGCACGGTGCCTGCTTGAAGCCCGTCACTTGGTCGGTAGCCAGCGCAAGCCTCCAAGACAACCCAGCGAGGAACATCACCTGCGTCAGCGCGATCCTCCAGACCACCATCGAGTGCAGGCGGAGGCGCGGGCGCCCCTTGTGGCTCCTCGGGGAGGCCTTGGCAGATCTCGCTAGCGAGCTGCTTGCCCTCGCTGAGCAGCCTCCCTTGGTGTCTCTTGAAGCGGACGATGTCTGTGCTGAGGATGTGGCCCGAGAGCTTCGTGGACAAGCCTCCAAGGGGGCCGACCTGACAGAGGTCCAGGGCGTTTGCAAAATCTTCCTCGTAGATGTCACTGTGTGGAGTGACCACCACCCATTTGGCCGCAGTGACTCTGCTGACCAAACTGCATTCATGCCAGTAGTTGTCCTCTTGATCGTAGTGGCCGAGGACCCGTACGCCCACCCGCAGGTTCTCCAGGGCCTTCGCCGTCCGCGATTCTGCCATGGACCACCGACTGGGTCTCTCCGCGGGCACGTCGTCGTCCTGTCCAGACGAGGACCTTGCGAAGCACTGCGCCCCGACCAGGCCGAGCACGAGCGAGAGGGCCACCCCAGGCCGGGTGTGCCCGGGCTCGGGGCAGGCTGGCGTGTATGACGGATGCCCGTGCAGGTGCTCCTGTCCGCGCCTGCCAGGCTGCCCCTTCAACAGCCCGCTGAACGCCTCCCCGGGCGCGGCGTCGAGGAACCAGCTGCAGTCGCACCCGCTGCTGCTGCTGCTTGGATCCAGGTGCCCAGCGCCTGGCCACCGACAGCCGCGACCTGATGAGCTCCCGCCCTGAAGAGGGCTGTGGCCGTTCGGAGAATGAAATCCCGAAAGAAGTGCCTTGAGCGAGAAGGCGACAGACATTAGCAATCATTCTCGTGCATCACTTACATAGAAAAAAACAATGAACATCTACGATGTGGGCCTTTTCGGGCCGTCCCGTGACACCTATCAAACCTCTCTTGGAGTCTCTTGGAGGCCACCTGGGAGCCTCGAGAGCCGTCGGAAGGCTGACTTGGGCTGCTCGGGAGCGTCTTGGACCATTCTTTCGATTTCTGGGGGCTTCTGGGAGGCGTCTTGGGCCCTCCTGGGAAGCTGTGGAGGCTCCCCGGAAAAGTTGGGGGAGCGGTACCGGGAGCGTCCCCGAGATGTGGCGGGGAGGTGTGGGACCCGGGGCCGGGGGGGGCGGTATCCGTTTATATTGTATAGAACCGCGCGCGCGCGCGCTTCGCGCGCGCTTGGGTTCTAGCGCATGCCATGGCGTTGTTAGCTGCGCGCGCTTTGCGGACAAGCTCATTCCATGCCTTGCTTTACCTCATCCTCCAATGATCCTTATACGTCATTCCTCGTTAACCCTCCAAACTCTCTCGGTTGTCCTCGCTTTTCGTTTCTCGCTCTTATCGACGGCCTCCTCCTGCTTGGGATTATGCGGGGGCTTCGAGCTGTTCAGGGCCGGCGTGGGAAGATATTCAATATGAAGTGGGCTGGCTTGAAATGTACGGGTCTCTTGTGGATCTTCCTGTTTGGGCTGCCTTGAAGGCCTTGGGGCCCGCTTAGGTCCCTCTTGGGCTCTTCTTCGAAGTTGTGGGGCCGTCTCGAGCCTCGGCGCCATGTGAAGCTCTCCCGAAGTCATCCGAAAGAGACGAGCGTGAGATTCACTGAATATGGAGAAACCTGAATGGCTTTTGCGTTTGTGGCTCTCTGGGGTCATTTGGGAGGGCCTTTGGGAGTTCCACTGGGGCATCTTGTGGCCCCTGGGGGGCGCCTTAAACATCTTGGAGCGTCTTGGAGCACTAAGGGGCCATCTTGGTGGCCAGCGGGCGTTGCTCGCTCTGAGTAGAAAGTGCCTGGGATGCAGCGGCCAGCGCTGTACATGAGCTGCTACCTTGGGCTGCAGCTCGCTGGATACTGCTGCGTGAAAGGCGCCGCTACCCTGGGCTGCAGCGCCATGCAATTAAATTCCCCGGCATTACTTATCCCACACGGCACTTGAAGGAGAGATGGACATGCTTGGTTCGCGCATGAATTTCTGTCCTGAGTCCTGAATGGATGGCCATCTAACCCAAATCCAAAATTCCCGGATTCCTTGGGGCTTCGGAGACTCCGCGAAACCGTTAAGAAGCCGGGAGGCGTGGTACCGGCCAGATGTCAGGGGATGTGTGGGACCCCCGAGTAGGAGTTCCACTTTGAAATAACAAAAATATTGGAATTCCCTCTCTTTTTTTTCTCTCCCAAATCCTCGATCTGTGCGGGTTCGAAGCGGGAAAACGTGAGAAGGCGAAAAACATTTGAAAAAAACAATGGAAATCAACCATGTTACCCTCTTTGGGCTCTCTCGGGGCGGCTCTCGCAGCTCTCTTGAGCTGGTCGTGGAGCCTCGTCGGGGTCTCTTTGGGGCCTCTCAGGGATCGGGGGTGTGTTGGGGGCCTCTGGGGGGTCCTGGAGGCCTCTGTCTCTGGAAGCCTCCTGCTCCCGCTCTTGGGCCCATCTTAGGCCTGTTCTGGGGTGGTCTGGGGCTGTGCTGGGCGCCTCTTCGGCAGTCTTCAAGCCTTCTTGGCCCGTCTTGGGGCCGTCCTGAGGGTCTCTTGGGTGGTCTTGGGGCGGTCTTGGGAGGCTCTTCGGCGCTCTTGTTGGACCGTTGGAAGCTCGAAATCTCGAGAAACTAAAAACATAGAAAAAAACCATTGCAAATCTACGATGTTGACCTCTTCTGGCCGTCCCGTGACACCTGTCAGACCTCTCTTGGGGTCTCTTGGAGGCCACCTGGGAGCCTCGAGAGCCGTCGGAAGGCCGACTTGGGCTGCTCGGGAGCGTCTTGGGCCGTCCTTTCGCATTCTGGGGGCTCCTGGGGGGCATCTTAGGCCCTCCCGGAGCGCTGTGGAGGCTCCCCGGAAAAGGCCGGGGGAGCGGTACCGGGAGCGTCCCCGAGATGTGCCGGGGAGGTGTGGGACCGGGGGGGCGGTATTTATTCATATATATATATATATATATATATATATATATATATATATATTCTCATACGCACCTCTCCGAGGGAGTAGAGCTCAGAGGCGATTAATGCGCACGTCGTCCGCGATTTTTCTGGCCGTTTCGCTCGGGACATCCTCGAAATTCTGAAAATCGGTGGCACCCCTCACGCAGATCGTGACGTCAGGGTCCAAAAACACATGGGAATTTCAACATTTTAACATAAAACCTTCAAAAACACATGGTAATTTCAATAATTTTGACCCCGATTCTCAGAGAATGGCGGTTTCGCCTGAGACATCCTCCCAAAATCGAGCCCCAGACCCCTCCTCGGAGCCTCCTGGGGGCCTCCTGGAACCTCCTGGGGCCTCCTGGGGCTTTCTGGACCTTCTGGTACCCCAGACCCCGCCTCGGAGCCTCCTGGAGTTCTCCTGGGCCTGCTGAGGCCGCCTGGGGCCTCCTGGGGCCTCCTGGGGCTTCAGAACTACATGCACACACAGAGACACAAATCACGCCCAACACATCACACGCTAGACAAACATAACATACACACACACACACACACACACCGACAACACACAAAAAGCACGCACCACACAAAGCACACATCACACACACACACACACTCACAATCCTGGGGCCTCCTGGAGCCTCTTCTGGTATCCAAGTCGGGCCTCCTGAGGCTTCCTGGGGGGCCCTGGTACACACATCGCAAGGTGTGGCAACCCCACTTGCGCTCGAGTGCGACTTCGCTGTTGCATGTCACTCCTGCTTCAAACGCCCCATCAGCTTGTTGTATGAGCCTGGGCACACACGTGCCACTTGTGTGTATATATATATATATATATATATATGTGTGTGTGTCTATGTGTGGAAAAAAGAAGGGTAAAACACAACAAAACATAAACATCAATAAAAAACAACAACAACAACAACAACAACACCAACAACAACAACAACAACAACAACAACAACAACAACAACAACAACAAAAGCGCGCTTCGCGCGCGCTTAGATTGTAGCGTGTCACAAGCACAAGAATCGCTGTGCGAAAAAACGTGTGGAGTTTCTCAGGCAAGTGAGGACTCCAATGGAAACACCTGCTTGAGGCACCGCCAGGGACCGGACCTTGTGTAGACTGTGGAAAGTCGGACCAGCTCTCTGGTCGACCCTCTTGGGCGCGCCCTGGGGCTCTCTTGGGCCATTTTTGGGGGCCCATTGGGGGGCTGTTCCGGGGCCTCTTTTGGTTTCTTGGAGCCCATTGGGGTCTCCTGGGGGCCTCTCGGGCCCAAACGCTCGAATCTTCGGTTCCTCGTCCCCGTCTTGGGCGCCGCCTTGGGGCATTCTTAAGCGGTTTGGGCGCCTCGTGGGCCGTCTTGGCCCCCTCGTGGGCCGCCTTGGGGCCCTCTTGGGGGCATCCTCGACCGGCTTGGGTGCCTCTTGGGTCGTCTTGGACGCAGATGAAGCCCAAAAGGCGAACGCGCCAAAAATATCAGTTTCCCGACGATGTTTGCTCATTTGGGCTCTATTGGGGTGCCCCCCGCTTTGGGTGTTTTTGCGGGTCTCTTGGGGGACTCTTGGGGTTTCTTGGGCTCTTCTTGGAGACTCCTGGGGTCTCCTGGGGTCCTCTTGAGCCAAAAATATAAGTTTCCCACTCGGACATCGACGATGTTTGCTTATTGGGCCACTCTCGGGGTGCCTCTTGGGGCGTCTTCGAAACCTCTTTTGGTATTGTTTTCGGGTCTCATAGGGGCCTCTTGGGGCGTCTGGGTCCCTTCTTGGAGCCTCTTGGGGTCTCTTGGGGGTCTCTTGGGCCACAAGGCCCGAATTTCCCGTTCCTCGTCCCCGTCTTGGGCGCCGCCTTGGGGCATTCTTAAACGGTTTGGGCGCCTCGTGGGCCGTCTTGGCCCCCTCGTGGGCCGCCTTGGGGCCCTCTTGGGGGCATCCTCGACTGGCTTGGGTGCCTCTTGGGCCGTCTTGGACGCAGATGAAGCCCAAAAGGCAAACACGCCAAAAATATCAGTTTCCCATAGGAAATCTATGATTTTTGCTTATTGGGCCTCTCTCGGGGTGCCTCTTGGGGCGTCTTCGGGGCCTTCGGGTGCCTTCTTGGCGTCATGGGAGTCGTCTCGAAAGGCGTCTGGAGCCATCGCTGCAGACTCCAGGGGCCTCCCTGCAGCCTGTTGGGGCCCTGTTGGCCCCGGGTCGCCGAACCCCCGTAAAAACATAGGGAAAACTACGCCCTGGCCCCACATTTGCGGTCGTGGTCGTGCCCCCGGGCCCCCGGACCCGGCCCCCCGTTATATGTATAAAGGTGATGGTCAGCACAGGAGTTGCTGTCTGCAGGCGGAGGTCACCTGCAACTCGGCCCAGGAACCTGACACGCCCGTGCGCGAACGGCATACCGTGTGACCAGCTCAAAAACTCTCGTCGCTGAACAATCTGGAAGCAGTCGCAAATCAAAGATTCCCCTTTGGTTTTTGAAGCCCCGAAGATGAGAAGGAGATAGAAGAACAGAGGACTCGGACTCGAAGCACCAATGCAAAAAGAACTGCAATTGCGAATCTTTGAGCGTTGAGGATCGGCGCGGTGAGCTGGCACACGGCAATCACAGTGCAGAGATGTTCGTTGATGCCCTGCTGGGGGTGCCGCTACAACCGGTCGTTCGTAAACTTCGGGCCTTCTGACCTTAGATCTCGATGTGAGGCTCTTCATCCTCCTCCTCGTCTTCTGCAGGCTCGCCGTAGATCGCAGCCTGAGGGTGTTCATGGTCCTCCTTCTCGTCTTCTTCAGGCTTGCTGTAGATCACGGCCTGAGGCTGTTCATCATCCTCCTCGACTGCTGCAGGCTTGCTGTAGATCACGGTCTGAGGCTGTTCATCCTCCTCCTCCTCCTCC